CACATCAATTACCCCAGATAAACCTGTTTAAACTGGAACAATTGACTTTTAGTGGCAGAGCTGTCAAGTAACGAAGTAAAAACACTTCATTACTGTACTTAAGTACCGGTACACTTTTTAGGTATTTATACTTTACTCCATTACTTATTTTTCTTCCTACTTCTGACTTCTACTCATTACATTTTCACACCACTATTTGTACTTTCTATTCCTTACATTTTTAAATCAAACGTTACTCGTTACTCTTGGCTTCGGTTTAATGTTTCTAAATCTTTATTTCCAGTCATGTGCTCCATCCAATGCAGATCATTGGCTCCACCCACATCCAGTGAAAACTAGTGTGATTGGATGAGTCATATAACGCAAACACTCATTGGTTAGCTAAAGGAAATCCTCAGAAGCAAGCAGGTGTTCTTCAAACTGCTAACGTGAATTGTCTATGCCATGCTGCAATGTGGGATTCAGAAAAAGATGTTGAAATGTCTGAAAGGTCGGACACATGAGAGAGCGTATCGGGAGACGGAGACCAACAAGACCTCCCTCATCCTTGGTCCTATCTCAGAGAATTTATAGAAATAGTTGAAAAATCGAGCTTTCAGTTCATATAGCGGCATCTGGCTGTTTTTTTTAAAGGTTACTTTATACTTTTATACTTTAAGTAGTTTTTGGAGCAAATATTTTTTTACTTTTACTTGAGTAAAGAGGTCAAGTTGATACTTCTACTTTAACCAGAGTGTTTTTAAACTGCAGTATCTATACTTGTACTGAAGTAACAAATGTGGGAACTTTTGACACCAGTGCCGATACGTGTCTACCTGCTGTAGGTACTAGACCTGCTCAGGGCCCCGCCCCTTCTTATGACATCAACATATGGCAACTCATTTCGGACAAACTTTGTCACACCCATTTCTTAAGAATCAGATCTCTTTTGGAGTCTCAACATAATATTTCCTATGTTTGCTATTATTTTTATTTTCATCTGCGATCTAAAGTAGCCGAAGGCAGAAAACAATCATTGTCAGTCTGAAAGGAAAGTACTGCCTTCTAAGACAGACTGAGCTCTGCTATTTAACAAGGTGACAAAAAACGTCTCAGCTTATTTTTATTCTTTTATTTAGATCTGAGGTCAGAGGAGGACAAATGGAACATCCTAAAAATGACTTTCATAGAGATTTTAGACAAATAAATAAAGACAAGTAGAATATACTTGTAGAAAACGAATGTTGTTGACAGGAATTTAAAAGTAGTGTAGCTTAATATGGCTAACTGAGCGAGCTAAAAGAGGCTAACCTGTTAGCTACTGAGCACAGCTAGCTACAGCGCTACCCAGCTCTTTATATTATGATCTAACAGTTACTTTGTTCGCAATAAACAGATTTCAGATCAGTTTTTTTATCGATCACGTAAAACCTAATCAGTCATTAGGCACGCTAACGCTACAGATGCTCCGCATGATATTATCGTTGTCTGGGCAACCACAATGTTTTACTTCATGTGGCAACGTTCAGCCAATCATGTTGCGTAGCGTCATTGGCATGAAGCAGGACCTGAGCAGATCTGATTGCTACAGTGGGACAAACGACTCTGCAAGAAAACTGTGTAAAAATATCCTTGGCTCTGATCGGCATTCTGTGAGAACACCAGAGCTGGGTCGACACCCTAAATTACCTGATTCCATTGAACGCAGCGTACGGACGTCAACACAACAGGTCTCATCTAACAAGCCGAAACGACTCGATTAACATGGAGCAGCTCTGGAGAGAGAATTGGATGAATAAACGAATCAAACTGTACAACTGACTACATCCTGGCTTCCCTCAGTGTTGCTCTCCATTGTTTACTTCCCCAAGTTCTGTCACCCTGATGACATCATCAAAGCTAACCCAATGTGATGGCATCACCAGAGACACAGCTGCCAGCAGGGGGTCAGACCGGCTTTTTTTTGCCAGTGGGGACAGAGCCAAATGCTTGTTAGCGGTTTGAAAAACCTACGCTAACTCGCTAAGTTCAGTGGAAAAGAGACAGTTCTCAAAGCTACTGTATCAGCATTGCATCGGAAATGAAGAAGTTGTCGGGACATCCCTTCTGCACATATTGTTATGCTGTGACACGTATTACCACATGCAGTAGCTTTACTTTAATTATAAAAAGGAACATTTAATCATATCAGTGTTTAGCTTGAAGTGAGCTAAAACTGACCGGAGCTCTGGACAGGTGACCACCTCATGATTTTGATGCGTTTCTGATACCGAATCACTGCCAGTACTCAGACTCGGTGCTCATTCATGCTCTGAAAACCCTGCGCTGCTCAGAAACATTGGAATTAGCAGGAATTTTGTGCAGTTTGGAATTTTATTAGAGAAAATTTCAGATCTTGAGAAGGTTTTAAAAATTGTATATTAGGAAAACTTGAGTTTTCATGTGTGTGTCAAAGAATGTGAGTCTCTTGGTGAGTCCTATTAAGATGTTCTCTTTTCTCCTACAGTGTTTCCTGGCTTTTCAAACACGGTGCCGCCGAACCGGAACCACGTTCTGGTTTCTGTCAATGATCCAGGAGCACCAGGAGCTGCAGATCTGCCCGATTTATGTTGTCCTAAGTGCAACTACTTGGCTCCAGACATGGACACGTTGCAGATACATGTCATGGACTGTATACAGTAATGCACGCATAGTTAGACACACCATATGCTCACAAACACACGCATATGTAGTAATACTTCCTAGCCATCCAGAAAGTATTCACACCCCTTAAAAAAAATCTATTAGGTTTATTCCTAAACCCACCCAAGTACAGTTGGGAAAACATGTTTTCAGACATGATTGTAAAATTACAGAAACTGTCAACAAAAAATAATTTTCTGTCACTTAAAGCTACCTGCTGACCCCTCCTGAACCTGAGAGCAGGGATCCTTCATCCTGCTGCCCAGACCCACTGCTGGGGTCCTGATGGAGAACCCCTGCCTTTGAACATCTGCTGCCACAAATCTATGTTGGTCAAATAACCAAGAGGATTATGGCCCCAAATGACCCCACGTGCTTAAGGAAAACATTGAGCCACGGCTGTGAATAGTTATGTCATTCATGTTTAATAATTTCACAAATGTTTAAAAACTTTACGTAGATTTATTTTAAAAATGTGAAATGTTGAGAAAATGAAGGGGAGGTTGAAGGGGTGTGAATAGTTTTTGAATCCACTGTACTTTTGCCTATGGCCTTTGTTTGTTGCACCTTATTTACTTTCTGCCAAAAAAAAAGAAAATACACAGCCCTTAAACCTGTTTGGGATCATTATGTAAAAATCCTAATATATCAACATAAGGAGAAGTTATGTTTAGGTATTTTCTCCCCCTCCTTCCTCCCATTTATGCCCCCCCCCTCCCTCCTGCTAACACCTCACCACCTTCTGACCTCTCACTGGTTTCTGATTCTGACATCATCATCAGTATTTAATGGACCTAATGCAGAAATACGTGTCCAGTAATTCTCTTTGAAATAGAGAAAATGCATGTATATTTTATTTTGTGAGCTTTAAAGGATAAAGAAATTGGTTCCGGTTGTAAAAAGTAGCATTTTGCATAAAATCAGAACCTGTTTTCTGTAGTAGAGACGGATGAGCTCCATTCTCTCTGTTCTGTGCCTGTTTTGATGGTGTCTCTGATGCTAACCTTACCCTGCTGTGCCCTTTATCCTCTCTGCTATTTATCAATATGAATGTAAGCACATTAAAGTTCATTTTCCGTATTGTGAAAATATTACTTATGATGTAATTTGTTGCAAAGATTGAGAAAATAAATCATTTATTCAATTGTCTTTGTGTCGCACCGGGGCCGTTTGGAGGAATTATCTAGTTGGAATTACAAAAAAGTAAAAAAACAACAAAAAACACTGGACTTTGTTTTCAAGTTTTTTGGAATGACAGAATCCTACCAGCGGGTCTATTAGGAAGATACCATTACCAAAGATTATGAAGGGGTGTTTAAGCTGTTCTATTTAACTGTATTTTATCTAAACTATTCTTTCCATAACACATCTATCTATTGCACTGATATTTCTGTTCACTGCATCCGGTTATGATGGAGAAGAAAAAGTCAGAGAAAAGTCCGTCATGGACCTTTTTTTTTTTTTTTTTTACTTGGTACAGCTCAACCGCCTGTTCTGCATCCGCGCTTCGTCAATTTAAACTCAACCGGAGACGGAAACTGCTTTTTGGAATTTCAAAATAAAGTCCCTAAACGTTATTAACCAACTCTCTTTATTTTAGAAAATTAACCCTGAAATGTAAAATAAACTCACTGAGTGACACGTATATGTTTCAGTATACTAATGTGATATTGAAAACTTTGAAATGTTTTTTTTGTTTTGTTTTTTCCGGTTTAAGGAAGTAAAGGGATTTTATTTTGGTAGTCTGTTTCTCTCCTTCCGGCAGCAGCTTCCTGGACTTTGGCCCCATGTTGCGTCTTTGCACGTCGGGCCGAGCTTTCCGACTGGCAGCGTGTTTCCAGACCCCTCTGCGGACCTCCATGTCGGGCTCACCTACCCCACCTCCCTCCGCGGAGGCTGCGGGGTCGGGGGGGTGCTTCCCCCCGGGATACAAGCCATTCAAACCCGAGGAGCACGGCCTGGATCGCGGGTTCCGCCTCACAGCTTTCTCGGAGCTGAAGGGATGAGGATGCAAGGTCCCGCAGGAGGTTCTGCTCAAACTCCTTGCGGGGCTGGAAACGGAGCGAGGCGACGGGCCAGAGAAGGCCGGAGAGCAGGCTCCTGAGTTCGGCCAGCAGCTGCCTGCGCCCCGGCTCGGTAAGAACCTCCGCTTCATTAGCGGCTGCTAACCGGGTTAGCTACCGAACTGATGCTAATCCTTTAGCTCTGATTCCATGACCTCATGTGACCGATGATGGTAACCTAACAGAAGCATCTTTATATCAGTCACACATAAACCTTATCGATGAGGAGTAAATGGTTCAGAAAGAGGAGCTGCTAATGAAGCCAAATGATTCAGCAGAAATGGATCCAAAGCCTCCAGTTCAAAGTCCAGCAGAATCACAGCATTAAACAGTGAATGACGTCTATGGACGCACCTCCACCTGCCTGCTGGATGACCGCCTCTGTTTTGATTGCAGGCATCGGGATGGACAGCTGTGTGATTCCACTGAGGCATGGAGGTCTGTCTCTGGTGCAGACCACTGATTTCTTCTACCCGCTGGTAGAAGATCCATATATGATGGTAGGTTTCTGCAGCAGCTGCAGGGGTTCAATCAGAAACACAAAAAACATTTTTATTGTTTTAGCATTTGATCTGGTTCACTTCTCCATTCAAGTCCAGGTTACTTTAGTTTCTTTAACACTGACTCATCACTAGTGTTTCTAAAAGCAGCAAATTTATCCAGTTTGGAGATTTTACTGCAGAAAACAGGATGATTTTGGGAAAGTAATTATTGCCAATTAAATCAGTTAAGGAACAAAAAGTTCAAATAAAGAAGCTCAGTCTCTCGTTAAAGATAAAACTAACAATTATTTTCCCAATTGATGAATCTGTCGGTTCATTTATTCAATTAATAATCGGATAGACAAAGGTTCCTTAAAGAAGACTTTTTACCAAATTCAACCAGGTTTAAATAATTCTGGACTGTAGAGCAGATTGACAGACGGAATTTTTTTTTTTTTTT